ACAGCATGAGCATCGATCTACGCAATTGAGTGAATGAGTAAAGTTTTACACCGCATTCAGCAATATTCCAGCTATATGGCGTCGGTCTGTAATAATCGAGTCTGGACCAGACAACCCTTTGATCAACAGCATGAGCATCGATCTACGCAATTGAGTGAATGAGTAAAGTTTTACACCGCATTCAGCAATATTCCAGCTATATGGCGTCGGTCTGTAATAATCGAGTCTGGACCAGACAATCCTGTGATCAACATCATGGGCATCATGTACGCAATTAGGAAATGACGCTTCCGAATAAATTTGACATCTTTTGTGATGCAACATATCATCTACAACATAGGATACAGATACCGCGTTTTAGATAGCCCGCTGTCACTTACCATGAACGTATCATGAAAAAATGTACGTTGCAGTTTCAGACATGAATTCATGCAGAATTAATCAAAGACAACTGAATCCCAAAGAGACTTAACCCCATTTCAGAGAATGTCAAACCTCTCTATGTAGCGGTTGGTTATACACCTTGGACGGACTCCATCACGTGGGGCATCTCATTCTCAATGTTAAATCACTCATTACTAGAATGGCAATTGAAATATTTGCGACTGCTGGAAACCAGGGTCTGACTTTACCAGGGAGCGCCAGGGCAGTACGGGGATTAGCTGCCATAATGAAATCCGTCAAGCGTTTAATCATTTGTTAGACATTCTTAATATAACCATCTCCCTATTGTAAGACAGGACGTGGTTCTGAGCAGTTAGACTGAGCCAGCCCTACTTCCAGGAGACATAACGCCAGCATACAATCTAGATACGGAGCTATTAGTCGCTGCTTTTCACGCATATTTTCTCAGGAAGGTCATAAATTGTTTCCACGTCGGTGTGTTCTCAATCCTAGATATCATTGCTTTAGATTCACTGCAAGGGTCCTCGCCTGTATGCGGTGTTAGTAGCTGCCTGACTCACTGCTGCTGTTCGTTTCTGGAAATATACTTACTCCTTCTTTTCATATTACCCGTCTCTACTCTGCATGATGGAGATCTCTATTAAGCCACGGGTTGGAACCATACTAAAAGTTGGATTTAGGGATTCAAACTGTATGTTACAATCACATACAAGTGGCTGGATGCCTAATCCTGTACCATACAACTGGGGAATATCCATACTTATTTAAACGAGTTTTTTTTAAGAAACTGCAGATGACTAACACGGTTACTGATACACTGTTTTCCCCAAAAAAATATTACGGAGCGTTTTTTTAGATTTCATATAATTGTAGCAGCTATTCATGGAGATTTAAGGCCTTCATGGATCACGTGATTCTAGGCACTGAAATTAGCTGGCATTCCCAGCTAATGGGCGAGTGTTCTGATAAATGCAAGAAGATAGAAGACGGATCTTCTGCAATTAAGAAAGAAACTTGGGGCACATAAAATGCAATACAACTAATGATCATTAAAGGCTACTCAAATATGTGTGTCCTTGTTGTACATCGCATTGGGTTTATATGAACATATTGGTCACGTGATATTTCATTTTGGATTATTGTTAAGAAAACTTATTTTTGAACAACTCACAAGAAGATATAGACCACCCGATTCCTTCATATGTCTGTAGTCATACGAATCAGGTGTCTTTCATTTCTTTTGAGCAGCAAGTGTTAGGGTACGTGGTAAACATATGCTATTGGCGCTCTCATATATTCAGAAAGGGGCGGTGGTGAAAGCGTTCGCTCGTCACGGCGAAGGCCCGGGTTCGATTTCCCGCATGGGTACACTGTGTGAAGCCTATTTCCGGTATATTGCTGAAATATTGCTAAAAGCGGCTTAAAACTCATCTCACTCACTTATAATTAGATAAGTTCAGAAAGAACTCCCGTGTGGTCAGTGTTTCTCAGCGGACACATGTTGGATTGTGACGGTTACACACGCACGCACGAACATACGCACAAGCGCTCGCACGCATATACACATAAAAAACGGATATAACAGGTATATATAACCTGGAAACACAAAGGAAGGAAGATATGAGATATTATCAGCCACAAGCCTTTAACCACGAGACAGGTATTTGAAAACTTTTCCAACTATTTGATGATTGTCCCACTAAAAACGCCCAGACAGAAGTCCCATCCTGGCTAAGTCTGCATGTAGATTATGAGCAGAGAGATACCGTTTGGTCTGACTGGCATATTTTTTGCTCCGGACTTGAACTGTTGCCACTAAAACTGAACTCGTTCGTTACACGTGGCTGCCATGATGAGGTTGTTAATGTTCGTTATATTTCGGATTGTACAGGTACCATGGAGACGTCATCGTAGAAGAACAATGCTGCTACGTCTACAGCGCCACCGTGGGCGTCTCGGTGTCTGGTGCGATGTCTGTGTTAGCAGGTTTCAAGATTAGTGACGCAGTGAGCATTAAATAGTGGATGCATAGTTCCTGACTGCCTCGAGTAATGGGGTCCAGGTTATAGAGGTTACACTCTATAGAGGTTACATTATATAGAAAGTCAACATTTACAGACAAACCATTTTACAGGATAAGAAGGTGCATTATCGGAGGACTGTGGTGCACTATCTGGTGCCTATTTTGGTCCGGGTCTAAATCAAATTTACTGTGATTTACTGACCATTTAATGCGTTCGCTATTAAAATTAACAATCACATTGATGACAACTTTACCCAGAGATTTGTACTACAGAACACGGTTTACAAAGCTATCTACTCAATGGTATCTCATCACATAAAAATGCGATTGTTTTGCGCAAAGATCTCTTTGTGACTTTAGGCCAAGGCATGACCCACAACCATTACAAATGACGTGATTTTGATGGAATGACTTATCTTTGGGCTCCAAGTGACCATATCAGTCAGTTTTTTTAATCTAAATTGGAGCAAAGATTAAAATTTCACAAACTCTAAAATGAATAAGTTGGATGCAACTTCGAATTTATTTTTAATTTTGTTAGGGTTTAAACGCCATAAAAACGCCTCGCAGTGAGTCGGCCCCCGTGTTTCTATGTTAACCACGTTGACTGCGTAATACTAGATTACACTAGCCAGTGTAACAATTCAACCTCTTTGTACAAGTTGGTCTCGCGATGATTTACAGCTAACTCAGCTGTTAAGACCAAAGTTTGTATAACCATAAGCTGAGTGTTTTCATTGCCTGTAGCCTTTGTCTGGAGGAGACGATCAAGTAACGATTAATAGCCATGTAGATCACCCCGTGCCTTCAGATACCGGAATAGTCAGACAATCCTAGCAACCGAGGTAGGCCGGTAAACTGTTCGGTATACCACCCTAAACAGACATAAACTGGGGTCCTTGTTGACGGGGTGAATATAATCAAGGGGTGGCACATCGGCCATGGTTTACCTGTACAGCAGGTGTTCAGTCTTTCTGGCATAACCATCTCACTCAACAGTAGCTAAGTTCACTATCATGTGGTCCCACCTTTTCAAAACTGTCGCTAGCGAATGGAGACAACTCCATAGCCGTGGACCACATCTACAGCTCGTTTGATCTGTCTACAAAGATCGCCCACAGACAGATCAGCTAGTTCGGACAGGGTTCATGTGCTGTTATCAACATACCCTCATAAGAACACGAATTACAAGCCAAGGGCTCATTAGGGATGTTTCTGGTCCCTAAATCAAACACACAAGCGACCGAAGGGGCTATCATACCACTTGTGACACTCATACTGAGGGTCCTCAATAAAGAATCGCCACAATATTCCCCATGTAAACATGGCTATCAGAAATCGCAAGGAGCAATTACAGCCCCCTGTCTCATCCCAACAAAACATTGCCGATAGTGTTGATAGCGTGGACTGATTTATCGGTCGGGCCTGATGTTTATGATAAGTCATTAATACTAAAGCATTCGGGACGGGGTGTTCACATATCGCTCGCCCTTGATGCCTGCAGTTTGGGGAGTCGGCATCGTGTAAAACTGTCTCTTTACCGACGCATAAACAACGCGGTTTTCATTTACAGGTTTGACTTGGAAACTGCTGAGAGAGGTACGTCACGTGACTTCGATACAAAACTGTCGAGAGGTATATGTCACGTGACTTAGATACGCGACAGTCTCCAACACCATCGGTTATATCTGTGACCACCCCCCCCCAAAAAAAAAAAAAAAAAAAAAAAAAAAAGATGAACGACCATGTGTCCATCACTTACCTATTCTTCATATCCGACATATCATGGTTTGTGTACGGGTTTGCGTACAAACCTTTTTGCTCATGTTCGAAAACGGTATAAGTATCTATACCGCAACGTCGCTATTGTACAATAAAGAAGTTGATCATGCATAAAGACTTGTCATTCCTATTGCTTACAACTTCTAGAATGCCTCTCAAACAGTTTTTTGGTAATATTTTGTACCTTGACCTTGTGGATTACACAGTAGATTGCAATCGTAATGACTATCCCAGTAGATATTAAAGGAGCGATAGGGGGCTCAGGACTACATCGTATGAGCGGGGACATGATGGTTGGCTGGTTACACACAATTTCTTGCGTTTGGTCATTTTACCTCGGAAGTGTTCATGACATCAATTTCTGGCTTGCCTTGACCAGGATAAGGCTAGAACTGTAACTCACTCACCCCAGGATTGCTTATTTACAGGCTGTGGTGATAAGGCTAGAATTATGTAAACGTAACTCACTCACCCCACACTTACTCCCTGATTCTAGGGGCGGTGGGGTAGCCTAGTGGTTAAAGCGTTCGCCGAAGGCCCGGGTTCGATTCCCCATATGGGTACAATTTGTGAAGCCCATTCCTGTTGTCCCCCGCCGTTATATTGCTGGAATATTGCTAAAAACGGCTTAAAACCATACTCAGTCAGTCAGTCAGCCCTGACTCTAACTCACTCACCCCAAAACTCTCTGTCCTCTCATTCGCTCACTCACTCATCAGAGACTGATGCTATGCCACACAATCTCACTCACTCACTCATTAGAGACTGATGCTATGCCACACAATCTCACCTTCCGCCCGACTTCGTTGTTGTGGAGGTTCATCTTATTCCTGATATCCCAGGTGTCTTTATGTCTGGTTTTATCCGGCGCGTCCACAAACTTTTGACTGAACCATATTCCGTAGTTGATGTTGTCGCTACAGCCGCCCCACTTCCATCCTTCGACATCGGCTTCTCCGTAATTGGACATATCACATGAGCAGTCAGTCAAGTTCCCGGCCGAGCAGGCCATCGTCACAGCGTGCACCACGCCTGCACTGAGGATCGAGTAAATGAAGGCTGTCTCTCGTGTACCTGCAAGAGATGGCAAATTATTACTGACATCGTTGAGTGAAGTGCATATTGCTTTCAAATTTCATTCAAATTGTACGTACGAAAACTCTGGGTTCACTTGCAAAAAGCGCCATGACTGCATTGTAGGCATACAGCGGTGGTAGCACAAAAATCGTATTGAATTTCAAGTCGCGGTGGATTATTGTGGAGAAGTCAGTTTGTTTGTTCCTTGATCAAAATGTGTTTGTTGTTTGTTTGTCCCGCTTAGCAACATTTCTAGCTAGACCCTGTATATAAATGAGTCTGACTTGACTAACCAGTGATTGATATTATGAGCGTCGGGATACGATGGAATAAAATCAGCCTGACCCTTCCCCCCGAACTAGCACAGGTTACTCGGGTTCTAATCTAACACGGTGCAGCGTAAAACATGGTCTGTCATACAGACCCTGAAACAAATATATCCAAGAAACCCTGTGCAAGTCAAGAATATGTGGCAAGTCTAGATTGTCACAATTTCAGGAAATCAAGAAAATTTCTGGGCGCCTTATCATTATTTTTTATGATTATAATTTACGAACCGTTTTTCTGTAAAACATGTTTATTTCAGAGACTTGATGTTAGTCTACGTAAAATAACACCTACCATTATTTTGAAGCACACTTTTTTCGGACATAGGTGAAAAATAATACCTTTTCATTGCTTATTCAATCACTTTGATCCTAAAGCACCCAAGGACTATTAGCTTTTGGCAAGTTCGAAAATACTTGATGTACCTTGCTACATAGGTTCAGTATCATTGTGGTCATCGTGATGTCCATGTTTGGTATAGAAAGGGTTCGCTGTATGCAGGATCTCACAACGGCCGTGCATTAACCAGCCCTTGATTTACGTCCCGCACAAAGAGCCTGCCTAAATTCTACAATTGAAATTCGCTGCAGTTGTCCTCTGTGAAGGCTAACAGGATACCCTTGACAGCTAAGCCCCTCGCCAACATTTTGTAATGTTTAAACTTCTAAATGAATTTGTATACCGGCCTCCAATGGGGGGTAATATTTCACCTGGCCTCTTTCAAATACCACAATTCGTTCAGATTGGTGAAAAGGGGGAAGAAATGTCCTTATTACCATGACAAAGAAGGTTTAGATGGCAATAAAACTACCCGGTAGCATCTAGCCCAACCAAGTCTATGTACAGCTATAGGGGCAATAAAATGTGCTTTAAAATACAGTTATTTACTGAATTAACGTACAGGAGGCTGGGCCGGGACAATACTGAGCTAGAAACGCCGCGGTACTGGCAGCTTTAGCATCGACAGAGAAGGCAACCACACAACCAGATTTGGGACGTTTTATCGGTACAGGATTTTCAACGTAATATTTGGATATGAAACAAATACTCCCTTTTCCCGTTTGTGTTAATAAATTGTATCAATTAGGTACGCCCATTTTGAAAAAAGTCACACACGCAAACAGTCACACACACACGCATGGACATACCTGTGACCGTAAATTATGTCATTTTGTCAAATAATATACCTTTCCATCGCCCACTCTACTATGTAGAAACATACTTGAATTTGTAAGGCAATCAGCTCTATGCTTGTGTCGCCGTCTTTAGAGTATATTTATTGTGTCAAATTCACTGAACTGGTTAAAAGGTAACAATTCGCCTCGAATTGTTGTCATTGTATGCGAATGTCTAGGTGTCTCTGATGCAGATTGTATCACCACACATATCCACTGCTTCATGTAAAGGCGGTTAACAGTCATCAACATCAACAGCGCATTTGCTGGAGGTGTGCACCCACTGAATGTAGTGTAACCATCCGCGGAGAATAGGTACCACTACTTCGTATCTGGTTACGTTATGATGACATGGAAGTACGGAGGGGTTAGAATGAACTCTAACATAGATAGGTAGATAGATAGATAGATAGATAGATAGATAGATAGATAGATAGATAGATAGATAGATAGATAGATATTGGTGGATGGACGGATGAGTGGAGGATGGAGCGAGAGGGGGGTGGAGGATTACAGTGAGAGAGGTAGCGGTAGCGGGAGAGAGAGAGAGAGAGGAGGTAGAGCGAAGAGAGGGAGAGAGGGAAGGGGGTGAGAAACACGGAGAGAGAGAGAGAGAAAGAGGGAGAGAGAGAGAGAGAGAGAGAGAGAGAGAGAGAAAGAAAGGGAGAGCAAGAGGAGGGAATGAGAGTGTATGAGGATATTGTATACACCCAAACCTCGTTAATGTAGACAAATGTCCGGATAAAAGAGTAACATGGTTACATATTGACATTAAGATCAAGACAGTTGTTTCAACCACAGATCGTTATCAAAATATAAACAGAAAACAAAGCAGAGATAAACATAAAGAGTATGTGCCGTTTGAGTACTATAGAACGTGATATCAGCTGTGTGCAGTTTGAGTACTATAGAACGTGATATCAGCTGTGTGCAGTTTGAGTACTATAGAACGTGACATCAGCTGTGTGCAGTTTGAGTACTATAAAACGTGATATCAGCTGTGTGCAGTTTGAGTACTATAGAACGTGATATCAGCTGTGTGCAGTTTGAGTACTATAGAACGTGATATCAGCTGTGTGCAGTTTGAGTACTATAGAACGTGATATCAGCTGTGTGCAGTTTGAGTACTATAGAACGTGATATCAGCTGTGTGCAGTTTGAGTACTATAGAACGTGATATCAGCTGTGTGCAGTTTGAGTACTATAGAACGTGATATCAGCTGTGTGCAGTTTGAGTACTATAGAACGTGATATCAGCTGTGTGCAGTTTGAGTACTATAGAACGTGATATCAGCTGTGTGCAGTTTGAGTACTATAGAACGTGATATCAGCTGTGTGCACCATTACGGATACATGTACAAGAAACATCCTCTGAGTGTCTAACCTGTTCATTGAACCATAAACAACACAGTAGAAGAACAGACAAATGAAGACACTTAATAGTCGGGTAAGTATATTGGGTTTCGCCCGTGTTCTACAGGAGGAATGTCTTCAACCGACTCAACAGGTAACTTGTCATTAGGGAACGTGTCAAAACGTAAAAAAGTTTCTCTTCACTGAAAACTATGCACCCCATATGAGACACCAATTCATGATCTTCCTGTTCGATTTATACGGATGATTTAATATTCCCATAATGATCATGAAATATTGTGCTAATAGCGACCTGGCTACAAATTTTTAAAAGGACAAACCTGAGACGACCCCTTTATATTACTCAGGTGATACACCTGCTTTTGCGATCAAGACCTCGAATGCCTGACACATCCAATTTCTTTGTATCCTCAAAATTAGTGGGTAGCAGGAGGGGCGGGGTCTACAGAGTCTCATAAATACCCAGGAATCAAACCCGGAATTAAACACGTGGCATGACATTCTCAAACAGTCGGTCGTTCCCTTCAAGTTCATTCCGTACAGACACCAGAGATCCTTCAGGTATCAATACAGTTATATGTACAGTACATTTTATCAAAGATGTACGATAGTTTTCATTGCCAGTTAGACATTTCATCTTGATGATAAAAACATAATACGTCGGAAAGAGATCTGGAATGTTATAATATTTTATGAATATAGGATAATATAAAATATGATGTTAAAACATCATGAATTCGTTTCTATTATGATTGATTGGGAGACTAAAATCTGGATTATAGAATATGAAAATGTGATAAGATGAAAAATGATTTTGAGATGAACATCTGCACTTCCTCCAACTATCATTAAAACGTTCTATTATAATAGTCTGTGGGACCAAGATCTGGATTGTTTAAAATGAAAATGTGATAAAGATGAAATATGATTTGAGATGAACATCTGCACTTCTTAACATCATTAAAGCGTTCCTGTCGCTACACAAGTCTTTCAAATCCCAAGAATTTCCCTGACACACGTGTTTATCGTTTCGTTACGGGAGCAATGTTACTCCACCACATAGGTTATGTCCGGGTATGGCCACTGCCAACACAAACACAATCAACCAAACTGTTGTCCCACAAGATCCACTCTAACAGCAATGGTAGTATGCTAAACTGTGCGCTCTGCTCCTTTGGGACCTCCATATATATACCCCACCTCGAGCTTATCTAACATAGTAATACCACGGTCTCTGGGGATGGTTAAATGCCACGTGCACGACATGGAATCTGCTACCTACACGTGCAGGTGGTGACATGGAATCTGCTACCTACACGTGTAGGTGGTGACATGGAATCTGTTACCTACACTTGCAGGTGGCGACTTGAAATCTGTTACATACACGTGCAGGTGGTGACATGAAATCTGTTACATACACGTGCACATGGTGACAAGGAATCTGTTACATACACGTGCACATGGTGACATGGAATCTGTTACCTACACGTGCAGGTGGTGACATGGAATATTTACCTACACGTGCAGGGGGTGACATGGAATCTGTTACCTACACGTGCTGGTGGTGACATGGAATCTGCTACCTACACGTGCAGCTGGTGACATGCAATCTGCTACCTACACGTGTAGGTGGTGACATGGAATCTGCTACCTACACGTGCACATGGTGACAAGGAATCTGTTACATACACGTGCACTTGATGACATGGGAACTGTAACCTATACGTGCAGGGGGTGACATGGAATCTGTTACCTACACGTGCTGGTGGTGACATGGAATCTGCTACCTACACGTGCAGGTGGTGACATGGAATCTGCTACCTACACGTGTAGGTGGTGACATGGAATCTGCTACCTACACGTGCACATGGTGACAAGGAATCTGTTACATACACGTGCACTTGATGACATGGGAACTGTTACCTACACGTGCAGGTGGTGACATGGAATCTGTTACCTACACGTGCTGGTGGTGACATGGAATCTATTACCTACACGTGCAGGTGGTGACATGGAATCTGCTACCTACACGTGCAGGTGGTGACATGGAATCTGTTACCTACACGTGCTGGTGGTGACATTGAATATATTACCTACACGTGCTGGTGGTGACATGAAATC